CTCAGCCAAGTATATGAAATCTCTACCCTGTAGAAAGGCCCTCTTAGCATTTCTATTTCTGATAATAGTTTGTTTTCTATAGAAAGCTGCTCTTTCCAAGGTTACATTTTTATGACTAAGAGAACTAAACTTTTCAAATAGACAAAAAAACAAGTTCTGCTTCTCCTCTCCAGTTGTATATTTTAGCACACACAGCATGCTTATATAGCAGTAGTTTTCATAAAAAGGAACAGGAGGGAGAAATAGGAGAACAGGAAATTCTGACACTTGCTAGCTAATTGCTTGCCCACACTTGACCTGAAAAGGAATTATTTCTCCTCAGGTGATACATCATGTTTAAGATGGTGCACTTGTTTTTTCCACAGAAGCACATGGTGCACTGATGTACCAAGAAATCATACTTTTTACAAAAGCATTGGAAGTATCCTCTTAGATATTTTCTAGTTAAGAGGTGTTTTAGGAGCATGTGTGTGTGGTTTCTGGAGCAACAAAAATATTTTGGACTTGCTATTGATTTTAGATCTTTCCCTCCTCCAGTTCCAAGCAAATAAAAAGGACTTGCTCACTTCTCCTTTACAGGTGAAAGGACTAATCTGACTCAAGAAGGCGATGCTGCAGATGCAGTAGGCTGCCACTGGCTTCAAACCGGGAAATAATATTTGTAAAGAGAATATGTGCTTTTTCTTTCTTACATGGCCTTAGGTAGTAAGTCAACATAGCTACAGAAGTCAGTGTTGTCCTTCTCCCCTCTTGGCATCCAAACACTTATCTTGTCCTCACAGAGAGGTTGTAGGGAGATAGCTGGCAATTAACAGATCATTGGCAGATGTTGACATGAGGCTTAACATCCCCTCCTTCTACATTTTGCAGATTTTCTTGAGCACTGAATATAGGGTCAACATGGCCATCCCTCCACCTTGGCATAAAGGCTCCAAAGATACACTTGGAGAAGTTGTTCTGTTTCCCTGCTTTTCTTTCCTCTCCCTCTTTCATAAAATATCCAGATTATCCATTGCAATGATGTCTTTGAAATCGTAGAATAATAGAATAGTTTGGGTTGGAAGGGACTTAAAAGATCATTTAGTTCCAACCCTCCTGCCATGCACAGTGACACTTTCCACTAGACCAGCTTGCCCAAAGCCCCATCCAACCTGGCCTTGAACACTTCTAGGGAGGGGACATCTACAGCTGCTCTGGGCAGCCTGTTCCAGTGCCTCACCACCCTCACAGGGAAGAATTTCTTCATTAGATCTAATCTGAATCTGCCAGCACAAAAAAAGCACTGTACTATTATTGAAAACCTAACTTTTACCCTAAAGAAGGTAGCCTTGGGGAGGAATTGGTGGATGGCATTGGGAATAAGGGATTGGATATTAGGCTGAAGGAGTCCTGTTGAATTCTTGCCTCTGTCAAAGGTTAGATGTGCGAACTTGGTTACACTGCTTCTTCTCTTTTTTATTCTCTCTCCTTTCTCTCTTATCTAAACCAGGTACCACAGAAATAATTATCATTTCTGAAAATTCAGACATGATAGTTATGTGTAAGTACTGAACAAAAAGCTTGAAATAGCAACTTTTAAAATCACTTCTGGTTCAATGATGATTGTTCTGGATCAGACAAAAAAATGTCATTAACCATTTATTTTTTAGTGATCCCAGGCTCGCTGGAATTGTTTCACCTCAACATTGGAAGTGGAAACAGTTGCATGACTGAGACAAGATCACAGGGAGACGTGGAAGCTGGGGAGAGGGTTACATGCTCTGTCCTCAGTATTTCCCGCAATAAAACACAGCTTGTTTCCAGTTGCATGTATCGGGCACATTCCTGTCCTGCCATGCACTAAGGAATATGAGAAGGGTCACTGTATGGAAGGAGAGGAAGTGAAATTTTGAGTGGGAAGTATTAAAAACCTCATAGCTGTAAAGTCTGCACAGACAGTGCAGAGCTACAAAAGTACATAAGCAAATTCATCTCTTATAGTGAATGACACCAAGTTACTGGGGAAGCCAGACTGATGGGGTGCAATGGGTGCTTGAAAGACAAGTATCACTCACATATCTACTGTGGAAGACCTAAAAGGGCAAATCAAGGAGAAAAAGGAGTCTGTGATCTAGGAGTTAAAATTATATTTTATCTTGGGAAGATTCAAAGTTCTTGTACTAAAAAGTTTTCCCTCAGTATGAAGAGCAACACTCTGGATACCACAGCACAAGGTCACAGAGTGAAAGGGAGGGTCTGAGCATCACACATGGATGAGCTCTGTAGCAAGGAAAAAATGGAAAAGAACAAGTAGGGGGAGGCTATGGTGTGGTTCTGGTTTAGAGAGCTGGACAGAGTAATTCCTGCACAGGAGTATCAGCTTTTGGTCAAGTGGTTGTTTTGAACTGGGGATTGGAAAGCACCCTTTTAAGAGTTCTGGTTTGGGTTTCTCAAAGGCTTTGGCACAACAGTACAGAGTTTTGGTTCTGGTTTCAGGAGAAGCAACAGTTTGAGAAAGGTTTTTGGCTTGGGTTTACACTGGGCTTAATTCAGTGCATGGCAAGGATGGCTGTCTTTGTAGTATGGTTGAATGTTACAACAAAAATAAGTAGCTGAATTCTCCTGTCTCCCCATCCCTTTTCCTCCTAGCTCAGTTCAAAGAAGTAGAGGCAATTCACAAGCAGTTCCTCCCTGACACCTACCGACAATCCTCAGGTTGTGAACTGATCAGCTGGAATACTAAAGTACCTTCATCATAATGTGTGTGGGGGGCAGAATATCAAGGAAGAAGCAACAGAATTTCTTCCTGTATTGTACCAGTGCATTAAAGACTTCACCTTTCAGAGCTGTCAGTCTGTCATTTTCATGAACCCTATTACATGCAATGAATTATTTTTTTGCTTGCCTCAGACAAAACTGTGCTGTTAAATTCCTGGTTTTTTTTGACTTAAACATTTTCCTTTTTTGGCTAAAAATAAAATCTCCTATGACTTTCATTTTTTAAACTTGCATTTTATAGAATCTGGAAAGGAATATAGTACCTCAGACTATATTGATTTCTCAGCCAGTAACGTGACATTTCAACTTGTTTTAGAAAGAAAAGAAAGTAAAAAGTGTCAGACTTCGTGCAGTTATGGTTTTGTTCCACCTATGCAACATTCCCCTCCATTTGCAGGCACTCCTCTTCTGTGGATTGCTGAGCCAGCTGTAGAGCCTGCAGGTGGAGGGTGCTGTTCAGCGGGATGATGTAATGGCACCTGAGTTCGAAGGCTGCTTCCTGAAGCTGTACTGGAAGTTACCATCCCTGGTGTCTGTTATCAAACCGCACAGGCTTAGCTTAAATGTGGGCAGTTTGCTGATATCTTTGGACACTTTGATACAATAGTCCCTGTCAGTTAGCACAGGGAAAACATTGGGTAGCCTATATTCTTCTGAGTATGTCAGTCTTCCTGCCACCGTTAAGCATTTATGATTTCTTCTAAGTTATTCTGCATATATCATAAGTTTATTTCCATCACTAATAGGGAAACTCCTGTTCAGAATGTGAAGTTCTTCAGTGTTGCTCCTTCTAGTCTGTTGTCTTACACTTCAGTTTTGGAGGTACCCTCAATTCATTATCCTTTATAATTTTTTAGGCAAAGAGTACTTGTGCCAATGGAGCTTTTTATAACTGGGATTTGATTTTTGATTATTATTTTCATCTGTACAGATGTGACAGAGTTATTTATACCAACAGAGAGAAAGCATGCAATAAGCTAACACTGAAATAATCGCTAATTGCAGTCCCAGTGACTCTACCAAGAGATGGCCGTAAACCATGTGTTTTGTTAGCTCTGCAGTATTTTCTAGACAAAAAGAAAATTGCTCGCTCGTTTAAAAAGAAAAAAAAAAAATACATTTTTTTATTACATTACACTTATAAATGTGTCTTGTTGTGCACTAGGAGTGTAAATGCTGTAGGCCAAATATTTTAAAATTGAGACAAAAAAAGAAGCAAACCTGTATTTTTTATGACACTGTGTTTTAACTGTCAAAAGGCAGTGTGTGTATTAGGCAGTAGTACCACTGGCAGAGTTCTGTTACTAGATTAAACCAGAAAAAATAGATGGTCTTTTGGTGGAAGCACAGAATGAAGAATCTAATTTCAACTGACTCAGGGGCTAGTTCCTATAGGACAGACATTTGCTATAGGCATTATAATACACGTTATCTTTAAAAGTGGAAGATGCAAATGTGGCCAAGTTAATTTACATAGTATTCAGATAAACTTGCTAAATCAAATAATAGTTTACAGTAAGTTGGAAGCCAGCAAGAAATCGAAGCAAAGCTTCTCAGGACAACTTCCTGTCAATATTTAGACACATTTATAGATAGGGACCCACTGAGTGTTTCAAAATTATATAGACAGTTGAGGTGTCTAAATGTGGCTGAAATCTGTAGCAGTGAGGTTCCTGTACTGCTGCTTGCCTGTGAAAGTCCTCCTGGGTTCTGTGTATTGGACTCGCTACTAAGGAAATCCAGCTCTTAGCCACATTTCTGTTGCCTGTTTCCCAGAAGAGAGATGCTAAGTGAGGATCCTCCAGGAATGAGGGAGAATGCTCTCATGGGCAGGGGAATGATTGTCCTGAGAGAATTCCCAAGAAAGTATCTGTCTTGAATCACAGCTTGGCAGATCTACTGGCTGTGGCTGGGCGCTAGGGATATACAGAAAGGCAAACTGTAGAGGGAAGGGGTAGCTGTATAGACATTAGGGAATTCAGAAAAACCTGTTCAATTCCAGACCACAGAGTCAGCAAATGACATTCTTCATCTTGCTTATTATTTAAGCTGTAATGTGTATCGTTGTGTGGTGGGTAGCTGTGATTTTAAATACAGCGATGGTCCTGAGATGAGTTGGCCTAATTTTGTAGAGGCTTGCTTTTTTCCTTCTTTCAGAGAAGATTAAAATCACTTCATATTCTATTTTCATTTTGCTCTTTCATGGAAAACTTTGTCTAAGAAGCTTTCTTCTTTTCTTGCAGTCCTCATTCCATCCCAGATCGCCTGCGTATCAGAGTGAACAGGATTAATTTACAAGAATACGAGGGGCTACATTACGACAAGGAAAAACTCCGGGAAGCTTGTAAGTTGGAAGAAGCCAGGTTGTAGCTGCTTTTGGTAAAACATTCTGTATAAATCCTACGTAAATCTTACGTACACACACACACCCCCACACCCCCCCCCCCC